ACACCCCAACCAACAGTGACTGTACCCTGATGTCCAGCACAGAGAGCCTTCTGGGAGGGCAGTCCATTTCCAAAACTTTTCTATGTCCTAGGGCATAGAGAAGATGCTACTCTATCAGGGAGTTTGCTGGAAGCAACCTGAGCACCCCCTTGATCTGAATGCATCATGGGGCATAGCCAGCTGTCGAGGCCTCAGAAGCCCAGAACTCTGAGATTCTATTACCACAGGGAAGGAGCTGTGGTGTGGAGGAAGCTGAACAGCTTCTGCCCTAGGGAAGGCCCCTAGGCCTCCAGATGAGCTTGAGTCTGCAAAACTGAGCCTTCTTCACCTTGCTTCAACCTTACCAGATGTCTCCCCCTATACTCACTTTTCACACAGCGTTCCACAAGGACTATCTCAGATGCTCTCTGCCCAGCCTGTGTTTCCTGTAGGAACTACCTTCCTCCACCCAATTCTCCTGCTGGTGTCTGCCCTTTGCGCTTAAGATATGAGATGGTTCAACCTCCATGTTCTCTATGCTCTCTTAGCCCTTCCCCGTGCCCTTGTTTTACAACTTTGATTAAAACCAGTAGCACACAAAATTATTCTGAAGACATGCTTGGAAAGCCACTTGGTAAATAGGCTAGACTTTTCCCTCTTGGATTTGTAAATCCAAATTTGCATGAAAGGTTTGCACAAATATTGCTTGATATTGAAAACGACAGTTCCTTTCCGTCCACAAGTTCAGTCTCGTGAGTAGCAGAGTCACACACTTCATTTATTGGGGTGACTCTCGGGCAGGGTGATGAGGTGAACTTTTCACAAACCCCAGTGTGTAGAAACCTCCAGATATGCTGGGGTAGGGCTCATTACCTCAAATTCACTTCCCTTTGGCTTTGAAGCAGCTGACACACCAGCAATGGCATTGTAACTCACTTGTGCTCAGGGTAAGCTCCTAGGTGGTGATAGTTGTGAGGACACAGCTTTGTGTGTTTGTGAACCCGTGTTGGCTTTTCTGTCCAGGCCTTAGAAGGATCTGTAAAATACCAAAGTGTCTTAGTACAAAGTGGACAGATACCTGTGGAGAGCTGGCAGCTAGTAGTTCACAAACAACCTCCACTGCGGCAGAGCTCTGTGCATCAGAGAGGGGGCGTGCAGAAAGCATGGGCCTGTTTGGGGACTGAGAGCATTCTGTGCATCAGAAGCAGTGATCCAGCCGCAGTATGATGCACACAGACTGTGTGAAGAAAATTCTCTCAGTCTCTACATGTGTGTGAAATCTGCATGGAGGAGGTTGAAGAGATAGATTGGCATATTCTCTGTCATCTAATGTTTTTTGTTTGTCCTAAAGCAGACCCCATTTCCTAAGCAAGACCCTAGGCTCACAAGGAGGCTGGTTTGTATATGCCCTGGTCTACAGTTCAAGCAGTCTGCCCATGTGCTGAGAGACCTCAAACAGGGCAGGATCAGCAGCGCCCAGTTCTGGGCCCCAGAACCACCTTCTACCCAGGGTCCTCTGCTCTTCCCCCTTCCCCTTCTGCCTGCAGTTGGCTGAAGAGCACCACACACACCACAGACCTCCTTTCACTTCTGAAGAGGGGAGAGGGACGATTACCAGCAACCATAGCAAAGACAACCACAGAAACAGGAAACAGGACAAGCCTGCCCCTCTGCACGGTGGAGCACCATGTAAGAACAGCCAGCTCAGGGGCCACAGCTAAGAGGTGATGCCAGCTAACCCAGTGAAGAACACACACAATGGGCTTCTTTCTGAAGAATTCGTGAAGGCAATTGTCCCCTTCCTCTGCCTGAGCCAGACCCAACTGGAGATCACCACCACAGGCAGAAGTGGGAAGGTGGAGGGTCCTTGTGGAGGGCCCTCCATAACTACGCCTCATTTAGCCTCAAAGAGCAGAGTACACACTACTACTGGAGGTCTGGAGCCTTCTCTGTTGGAGGTGGCACAGCATGGGACACCAACATGAGCAAGCAGCATGGGTAGCTTGGATGTAGGGATGGACGCCAGGCAGCGTCTCTTCATCTTGGAGATAAGGGCACTGCCCTACCCGCCTCTGACAGATAATGACAAAGTGCTTTGAAAAGCTTCAAGCCCACAACTTAATGAGACAGGCGTGGCCACGGCACAGCCTTGCTCTTTGAAAGTTCTGAGAGTTGATTTTTATCAACTGATGAACTCTTCCCAGAGCCTCAGGCCTGAGTAAGGGAGGATACTAGGTGTGGGATGCAGGACCCAAGGACACAGGATGCTGGATACTGGGCAGAGATGAGTCCTCATATAGCTGGCCCAATTGTGTTCAACCTTCCTACACTGGGCATCCAGTGGAACAAGGGAATTTGAGCAGAGAAACTGCTGCTCCAGCCAGAGGGACCCAAGCTCAGGCTGTTCCAAAAATTGACAGTAAGAAATGGGAGGTGGAAACAGACTGAGAAACTTGTGTCTAGGGGCAGAGGTTGAACCAGAGAAGACATGTCAGGCTGGCTGCATGTAAGGAGGGTGTTGGCTCCCTCTAAATGGTTTCTGCTTTGTCACTTGGATGAGGACAGGCTTTCACACATGTGGGTTTGTAGTATGGCAGTTTCCTCCAGGTTGGAAATAGCATTGCTGTCTTGAAGCAGAGAAGCTGTGGCCACCTGCTCTGGATCCTCATATTATTTCCTATCATGGAAGGAGGCAGAAAGTCATGAGGGTCAAGAAAGCTTCATGGAGACCTCCCTAAATGCCTCCCCTCTCTGATACTATGTAGGAAGCAAACATTTGCCAGAGGTGGTTTCTCTGCTGCTTATCCCCTGTGCTCCTGTGAATAACCCTAGTAAACTAATTGATTCGCCGAGCTGCTCTTGGATGGAACTGTCTTTAGTCTGTCTGGACTCTGGGAGCAAAAAGATGTTTCTCTATGTGTCCCCAGGAAGCCACATAACAGTCTTTGTGTTCTTTCTTGATGTCAATGCCCTTGGTTCAAGGTTGAGAGCCCACAGCAGCATAGGGGTGAAAGGGACGGTTTCAAGGGACAGAGACAGGCCTGGACACAGGATCAAGGAGTGAAAATCCACTCCCAACCCAGGTTGCCTCCCAGGCCTCAAGTCCCAGCCTCTCCATGCAGCCCAAGCTGTTGTCCAGTGTTTTGCTGGATCCTGTCTCCATGGGCTGATAATGTACCCACATGACTGAGTGGGGAGGGTAGAAACAATAGCATAGTTTTCTGGAAACTTCCATCCAACTCTGTCTCCATCACCTGGGAAGCTACACTCCCTACACCTAAACAGGATGAAGCAGAGGATATGGACTAAGCCAACCTCAGCTGGTTTGCTCAAAGGTGAGCCTGGGTTGTGAGAGACAGTGGAGCCTGTCCTTGTTGGAGCCTTCCTCAATATGACTTCAATGGTGGTAATGGCTGTATTTGCAAACATTTCCCCAGATACAGCTGTGGACACTGATCTGCAAGTCCTTTCCTGGAACTCCCTTTCTTCTTCCTCACCCTCTCTCAGATAAAGGAGGAAGGAGGTTAGGTGAGTGAACTGGTGGGGAAGGAGTCCCCATAGTGAGGCGAGTCCATCCCATCTCTGTCATGTCTGTGGCTGTGACATGGTTCTGTTTAGGGTAAGCAAAGTTTGCCCTGTTTTTTGCAGTCAAGAATCCTCAATATCAGCAACTCCAAAGGACTTGAGAAGTTCAAGGCTAGCCTGGACTACAGATCCTGTAGGAGAGAGAGAGAGAGAGAGAGAGAGAGAGAGAGAGAGAGAGAATGGGAGAGAGAATGGGAGAGAGAGAGAATGGGAGAGAGAGAGAATGGGAGAGAGAGAAAGGGAGAGAGAGGAAGGACATAAAAGATTACACATCAAATGAGTCAATTTGTAGGAAATTCCAGAATAGGAAAATACACAGAGAAAGGGGGAAAGGGGGCGCTTATTGTTTCCTGGGAATAGGGTTCTTTGGAGGAAGTAGGTGCTAAAGATAAATTACTCTAGAAGTCAGACGTTCTAGACTGTGCTGTCACACCTATGAACAGACTAACGGCCACTGGATCTTGAGTGGGAGAGTGGTCGGGGATGTGAACCACATCTCAAGAAAGCTGAAAAGAACAGAGGCTGTGTACCAGGCATGGCATACAGAGAAAATGATGCATTTGTTCTTGAAGCCATTGTGTTAAAGAAGACAGGGCTCTGTAGGGAACCAGAGAAGTATCATCAGAACAAGCTGGGGCTCAAGAAAGAAGTGAGAAAGGTCTCTCTGAAGTTAAGCAGGCCAAAGAACAAGAGTGGGTGATCCCCTCCAAGAGAGAAGCTGCAGGAGGAGATACAGAGAAAGGTTTCAGAGTTTAGCCAGTCAGGGAGGGGCTGGTTAGAGCCAGGTGAACCAACTAAGGACTAGCAAGGACCCTGCCCCATTCAAAGTCAAAGAAGAGCGTGCAGAGCCAGTTCAAGCTGATGGGCCCAGCTGCTCCTTCATCAATGTGGAATTGAAAGAGGCCAAAGTTAGGCAGACATTCGGGAAGGAAGGGAAAAGGATCCAGTCCAGCAGACCAGGACAGTTTGTTCCTACCTGCTCTCCCTTTCTTCCAGGTACCTTCCTGTGGTCTATCTCTGCCTGCCCTTCGCGGAGCCTGGGTCTATCCCCTCTCCAGCCAAAGTAATTAAGAAGCATTTCTAAGACCTAGATGACTCCTGGGTTCTCCCTTCCAAAGGAGGACTCTAACACTCACCAACCTCTTTAATTTGGTATCTCAAGACCAACATTTGGAAAGGGGTGGAAGATGTCTCCCGCAAGAAACCTCAGAGAATCAGAAACCCGGAGTCCACTGCAGGCCTTGTCTATCCTCATAGGTACCCTCTGTGTGTCTCCTTGGTTATGTGTACCAAGGTAGAGTGCAGTCGCTTTGGTTCCCAACCTCCTAGTAAAGTCCCAAAGCACAGGGTCCAGTGCGTTCTGGGCCGCGGCCGCCGGGGGCGCTGCGCGAGCTACTGTTAAAACCCTGTCGCGGGCGCGCGCTCTCAGAGTCCGGCCGCTGCCCGCTCCGCTATCTCCCGCTGCCTGGCCAAGCCTCGTCCGACTGCCCCGTCCGGGATCCAGGCTTCACGAGTCGCTCTCCGCGCACTATCCACCCGCCCCGGGCTCTGAACCTCGGACGTGCACCTGAGAGCGCGGCCGGAGGTCCAGGCCCGGCGGCGACATGGGGAAATTTCAGTCCAAGCACGGTGAGGTGCGGGCCAGAGCGGGAGGGGAGGGTGGCGATGGAGGAGGGTGCGGGGGCCTCCGCCACTCACTGTCCCTTCCCTCTTCCCCGCGTCCTTCGGCCGCGCCGCAGCTGCAGCAGCCTGCAAGCGGAGAGAGAGCCCCGAAGGTAAGCCCCGGCGCAGCCAGGGCGCGAGGCGCCCCCGGGCCGGATGCGCAGAGTTCCGAGCTTGGGGCGCGCCTTGCCTCGCGCCCTCGGGTGGGACACGCCATAGGTCTGCGGGAGCGCATGGTCCCGGGGTTCTGGGAACGGGGTGGGCACCTCGAGGCGGACTTGGCAGAAGCGCACCCCGCGGAGCTTACGGTCTCCTTCCTTCTCCGTGGGTGCCGTGTTTCCCACGCGTCTGTGGGCGGGCCACAGGGGACAGCTTCGTGGTGTCCGCGTATGCGAGTGGCCGCAAAGGCGCGGAAGAGACCGAACGGCGCGCAGGAGGCAGCGGCGGCGTGGAACATCGCGCACGGGACAAGCAGGTAAGCGACGGGTGGTGGGCGGGGTCGCGCGCAACCGCGGGTCTCCCAGGACTGGGAGAAGTGCCCTAGCTGTTCCTTTTTATCACCGGGAGATACAGAAACCATGACTCAGATGGCTGGCCTGAGCCAGGATAGCCCGTCCCTTCGCAGCATCTGGAATAGTATCTCAGAGGGGGACAGCGTGGAGGTACTGGAATCCCCATGCCCTAAGTTAGGGGTGGATTGATGGCTCCACTTCTCGGTCAGGAGGAGCTGGTGAAGAGGCTATGAGGCAGAGATTGGGATCAGCTGGGACTATGATATCAGTATTCCAGGCTTGAGGCATCGAAGGTGATGTCCAGGTGTATCTTATTACCACTTACATTTGCTGAGGAGTTCTTGGTTCTCACTGGGAACCTGGGACTCTTGTTCATGTCATGGGAAAGCATACCCTTGGAATCCCCACTTGAGAGCAGTGGTGTTCAGAAAGGGGCACAATTTAGCTGACGAGGAAGTGTGTGTCTCTGGAGTTTGAGGGCCAGAGCATCTTTTCTGGAGAGTGCAGGTGCTTCTGGTGTAGTTGTGGAATTACTAAAGTGAAGCCGCGATCTTGGATTGTGTGTGTGTGTGTGTGTGTTCGTTCGTGTGTGTGTGTGTGTTCGCGCGTGTGTTCTGGCTTGCATTGTTTCCTCTTTGCTTTGTTCTTCTTTCATGATAAGGCCTTTCTAAGGTGGGAAGAGCAGAGTCTCAGTAGGACTGACTTAAGTATCTACAGTCAACAATGCTGTGTTTCCTGGTTTTCCTTATCTAGCTGTGGCCCCTGGCCAGGTCGTACCTGGAGTTGAGGCCCTAGCCCAGTCATTACCCTCACTGGACTCAGGAATTCTTTTTTTTTTTTTTTTTTTTTTTTTTGGACTCAGGAATTCTTGAAGCCACATTGCTGTGCTGGTGCCTGGCAGCTTGGGCTGTACTAAGCAGCCCTTTCCCAGGTCTGGGAGTTACTCTATCCTCACCTCGTGTCTTCTGTCTGGAAGGTTCAATGGGGACAGTTAGAGTTGGGTCTGTGTCCTTTCTCAAATCCTTCTTTTTACAGTGTCCACTGTTCTGCCCAACTTAGTGTCCTCCCAGGAGCTGTACCTTGAAGAGACCAGCCCTGATCACTGTACAACTTCCACACCACGAACTCCCAGAGGCTTGCGACAGACCTTTGGGGGGCTTGTATCTCCTCGTCTGGGTTCTCATCTGCTCTTTTGCGTTCGACTCTGTTACTAAGCTGCAGTGGTCTGTGCATCTATGTACAGCTAAGACACTTGGGTACCATGTCCTGCCCTGAGTGAGTGGCCATCCTTGCTATTTCCAGAAGCTCTGCAGTGTGGCAGCACCTATGTGGCTCCTTGCCTGGGGGCGATCTAAAGGGAGGGGCACGGGTTTGTTAGCAATAACCAAGTGATGGTTTAGAGAGAAGTGTGTGACGTCAGAACTACTGTGGTCACAGGCTTTGAGGCAGGACTGATGGGGCTGTCGTTCAGGCAGCATTGGCTGGTGGCTTTTCTCAGCGTAGATGAGTCGTCATCCATGGGGCTCCGCGTAGGATAGTTTCCTTATGTGTGCACTGTTCCACCAGACGATATTTAATTTCTCCAGCTCCCCCTAAAGCTGACAGGAAATTGCGCAGAAGACAAGAGTCACTCTTTTCTGTTGTGAATTAAACACGGATTTCCATTAGCCCGAGGAAGGAGCATTCTGCTCACTCTAGTGGTAGAGTTTTAACTTGGATTCTGAGGGATCTGCTTGTATGAGTTCAGGAGGCCATGAGAGCCGTGTCCATGGCTGTCTGTGGACATTCTACAGCTGTCCATAGTTATAAGAGGAAAGGACAAGGGTGCTTAGCCTGTGGAGGGCTGTGTGTGGTCATCTTGCGCAAACTTGTACTTCACAGTGTGACTCACTACCTCCACCCACATCTATCCCACCATTCTCTGTGTGCTGACATATCATACCTTTCAGAAGGAGATAACCTTGGAAAATATGGGAGTGAGCAGTGTGAGACCCCGTGGTGCCTTTGAGGGCTGAACTCTAGACCAGGGCTGAATTCGCTGTGCAAACCTTGGCTTCTAGTTAAAACAAAACAAAACAAGAACAAAACAAAACAAAAAAAACCCTCAACCCTCATTATCACCTTGTCTACAGGTTCATCAGAAAGGGAAACTTGCCCACCTATCCTCTGATTCCTTCTAACTATCTAGAATTCTCTGGAGTCAACTGGAGGACCTAAACCTTTTAGCTCTCCTGGTCCTGCTATGGCAGGGGTAGCCAGGCCATCCCCTGACCCGGACCGGGAGCCACCTCATCTGAAAGCTTACCTGCTTCTGCTAGGGAAAGGGAGATGTTAGCCTTTGAGAAACTCCTCATGTTTTTGTCACAGCCTAGATACTTTTCTATTCCCAGTCGACATAGAAACATGACACACGAACTGTAAGCCATCTGCAGGGAAGATATGGAGCTCCAGGGAGGTGATGGGGTCCTCACCTGCTAAGCTTTAGAGCCCCCAAGAGGAAGCAGTATTTCCCTGGACTACCCACAGAACAGCTGGAAGGGAGGCCCTGGAGGTGCCAGGGTGGAAGAGGGTAGCTTGGCTGTCAATCATCACAGCACATCATTGTTACCCCTCGTTCTCTCTGTGCCCTGAGTCTGGCTTTTGGGACCCAAGTCTGACTCTTGAGAAGTTGGCAGAGAAGTGCATAGTGACCCAGGGCCCACTTTGATGCAGGAACATCAAGGACAATCCTGGGAGAATTTCAAAGAGCACTGAGGCTTCCCAAGATCAAATGGTCAAAGGGCATTGAATCCCCGCCTCTTTCCTGCTTCCGAAGTTGCAGGTGTCTCACTGACCCCCACATAATCTGTGACGAGTGGTTCTTACCCAAGGGGATTAGAATGATCTATCAGAGGCCCCGGGAAACCTTGCCCGAAATGCCTCTGAGAGAGGGGAGACAAAACTGGGCCGCAGACCCAACCTGAGGGAGCTTGGAATAATGTTTCAGGCACATGGCTGAAGTTTACTTCCCACGCTAAACAGAGAAGGGAAGGGAGGCACAGGCCAGTGGGATGTTCCTGTGTTGCAGAAAGTGTTGGAGTCATCTCAGGGGTTAAGGCCTCAAGAAGTAGGCAAATGCCATGCACTCAGTGTCTGACCCAGTCTGGTACTTGTGGGAGGCTCTGGGGCTGCTGTGATGCACTCTGCCACTGAAAGTGCATACTTGGGCTCTGCTTTTGCTCATTGGCTAGCACTCTGCCATCTTATGACAGGAGCCCTGGGACCATGACCATGTGAGGCCACAAAGGCTGGAGAGGCAGATTCCTGATGTCTACAGTGGGGAACCCTTCTGTGTGCATTGGTCGTTGGAGCCGTGTTCCCATGGTATTCGAGTGCTCCCTGCCAGACACAGAGGGAGCAGATATGTACAGATTTGGATGTGCCCACCTCTGCATTCGAGGAGCGTCATATAAAGTGCCTGGGCCAAGGATCTAAGAATGTGGGGCATTTTGCCCCAGACTGCCACCTAGACTGGCGGGGTGGTTCATAGACAGCTGGGACTGAGGGTTGTATCTGGGTAGCTTGTGATGTCTAGGTTTCTAAAACAGTTTCAGATCACAGCTGCTAGAGGAGCTAAAATTTTGGCTTCCTAGAAGTATTAACTGGTAATTATTCCTCATTGAGATAGTCAATGGGAGATTAACGCTCTTGACCAGAGGTCCTGATCAGCCTGGAGCCCTGGTGAGGAGGGAGGGGTCTGAGGTAAGCTGGGTAAGGCCAGTAGGGGTGATATAACTAGGAACCATGGTTCCAGCCACATACAGGGAAATGGCCTGGCCTCATGGACACTCTCCTAGAACTGTGGTCCAACATCGCATGCAGGAACAGGCTGGACAACTTCCCTGGGGCTACAGCTTGTCAAGAGCTTGATATGCAGGCTACATATCCAGACCCAGATGCTTCCCAGCACCAGGTACAGCCCGACTTGCTCTGTAGTCTGGGGGCAGGGATTTGTAGTTTCTGTTTCTTGATAAGAAGTAGAGGACAGGACCATGTCTCACTCCCAAGTAGTGAGGTCAGGGTGACCACTGGTCTTCTGCACAGAGGTCATTGAAAATCCTGGTCAGAGTGAACAGTGGGAACTCCAAATGCCACAGCTAACTAAAACATGACTCTTCCCCCACCCCCTCCACTATGGTCAGGAGGCAGGAAACTGTCTCCACAATACTGTGACTTAGCCGTGTGGCCATGTCTTGTGGCATCTTCCACATGTCTCTGAATCTCAGCTTAGCTTGTTTCCTGTGGCCTTGACTTCACATACTTCTCATCATCTCAGGAGAGATGAGGGGACAAATGTAAGGGTCTATAATGGGACATTGGAGCTTGGCAGAAGCTATCCAGAGATTCTCCCAAGCTAGTCCCCCAGGAAGTCAGTGCTAACCACCTGTATGTGGCTAGGAAGCCTTGCTCTTAGGAAAGCTGAACTCTGGACATAGACCTGTTCTTCCTACAGGTAAGAGGAGCTCCCGGAATGTTGCCTATATCAGAAAGACTGTAGTTATGAGGACAGGCTTGTGTCACCCCAGGGGACTATGGAGAAGCTGACCCACAGCAGCTCATGAAGGCTGCTGTTCCTGACTGGCTAGTGGAGAAGTCCTACAGAGCCGTGGGTCACAGGAAAGAGTTGTTCATGGAGAAAGCTCGTTTGTGTAACCCCTGGATATATGCTGTATTACTGAGAGCGAGGTTGGCATTGGATGGAGCTGCTGTGGGTGCTTATGGGTTGCTCTTAGTGTGGGCAGCACTGAGCAGTACGTACCCTTATCCATTCAGCTCATCCACACAGGAGCTCTGCTCGCCTGAGCCCTTGACAAACAGGGAAGCACGTCAGGACACTTGTGCCTGGAAGGGGGTGCTGAGTGTTACTGCTGTGTCTGTCTCCTCTTTTAGCCTCCTGGTGGGCTTTTCTTCTTACAGGAGATAG